GCAGCTGCTGTTGCCGTTAGTCATCCTCCCTCCTGTTCGCCATTTTGAATACACCTCTTATTCTGTTTTCATTGTTGCAGGGTACAGATCCTGGTGTATGGCTAACAAAAACTTCTGCTGGTTTGTCTATAGCAGCAGCAAGGCAAAGCTCCGCACAAGGTGATTGTGCAGCAGCAACAAAGCAATGGAAGGGAGCATTAAAGACAATAGGAGATTCTTTACCACCTGCCTATACACCCGGGCAGGATATATACAAAAGTCTGGATGTTGTATCGTTAATGAGTCTTTATACACCTAAAGACGGAGTAGCAGTTGCATGCACTGTCATACAATGCCCACCCAAAAGTTCAACAGGAGGAGCCAGTGACAGTGGTGGCAGCAACACCGACACCGAAAACGGGCAACCACCTACCACCACTCCCACTCCACCTAAGGTTCCCGAGGAAAACGAAGACGGAGATGATGAGGGCGCTCCTTCTGATACTGTTGCTGGTGGTGCTGGTGCTGGTGGTGATGGTGGTGTCCAAGGTGGTGATGGCAAAACCAAAGAGGGCAAAGAGTTGAAGAAAGCAAATGTCGAGGAGAGTCCACCACCAGTAACAGCATCAGCAGTAACAGCAGGAGTAGGAGGAGTACCACCAGCACCTGCAACAGCAGCAGCAGCGGCGGAAGCAGGAGTTAGGGGTGGCATGACACTTCGTCGATTAGATGATAGTGCAGGAGGAGAAGAGTCTTTTAATGCTCTTGTTTGTCTATTCAAACCTGAAACACTCACTGAAGGAGCTGTCCCTTTCCAGTAAATTGTACACTTGCTGCTGCTGTTGTTGCTTGCCGCTGCTGTTGTTGCTTGCTGCACCTGTTGCTTGCTGCTGTTGTTGTTGCTGCTTGCTGCGGCTGTTCCTGTAATGGCTATTTCTGCTGTACATGCTGTTGCGGTTGCTGTGCTGGGTTTGTTACAAATATTGCTGCTTGCATGCAACAGCATAACAGCAGCTGCTGCTGTTGTTGCTACATTTGCTGCTGTACAGATTATTGTTGCCTAATTTGCTTCTGTTTGTTTGTTATGTTTATAGGGAAAGTGAATGGAAGACAGTTCTTGAGAACGGCGCTGCTTTCTCTTCTTCCTCTCCTTTCCTTCTTGCTGCTGTTGTAGTCCTTGGTCTGCTGCTGCACTAATGCGCCATCATATCGTCGTTATTGCATCACCTGCAGCTGCTGCTGACGTTGCAGCAGCAGGTGGCTAAAGTCGAGCCACCTATCGAATTTTTAATGACTGCAATTGTAGCCTGTTCTTTTCTCTATTACTACTATTCTCTAATGTAAAGAATAAGATATATTATTTACTGTTTTGTATTTACTTTGCGTTTTCTTTCTTATTCTTTTTCCTTTTATAGGTTGTTACTTATTTCTTTCTTAACCTGTCTTACTAGCTTTTTATTATTGTTAAGCATTCCTTTTAATTAGCATCCGTATTTTATTTACTAAACATATTCATTAGTAATACTAGTACACTATGTATGTAATATACTTACTAAAAGACACTTACTATTTTTCATTGAATATTTTCCTCCCTGTTTTTGCCACGGCAGTTAAGACGAAATAGATGACTTCATACGGAAGAAAAACGCAGGAAGAGGATTGACTGCGTGCATTGCGGACTTGTTGCATTCAGACGTTTTAGTGTTAAATTTTGCAAATAAGGGGAAATTGAATACACTACTAGGTAAATTAGTTAATGAGGTAAGAATAGACTTTTGTTGATACCGAGGTGAAAAAAATATGAGAGGAGAAGGAAGGAAAGGATCAATTCAGTTGAACGTGAAACAGCGGCACCGCGTCAGGCGTTGGGACAGGGAGGCGAGAATTCATTAGAAATTGCGAAATGTTTTAACTTTTCGTAGTTGAATTTGAATTAAAGAATTATTTGCAATTATTTGAACTTGTGAAGCTTGAAGGAAAGCTCAAATGCAAGAAAGCTCGGGAAGCCGGTTCGTATTCGTTCGATTTGTGTGTACTTTGAACATCGAAGAAATGGTGTGGTTGGTGAAACTTTAGTACCAAACAAAACGGGAAAAAGAGTTAATTAAAAGATTAGTTTCTAATTAAACATTTTTCGTTAGAAATACCACAAAGAAAAACAATGGGAGGCCTTTTATTAGCAGAAACAGCTGATCGACCGGCATCTTATCTGGACACTCCAATATTCACCTCGGTCTCTTCAGCTTTCCCGTAGGAGAAACTCATCGTCTTTTTCTTTGTTAATTGGCATGTGGCACTTAATGACCCATTTGTTTTTGATTGTTTTTCTTTAGTTTTACTATTCCTAGAAGGAAATTTCCTTCATTTTCCCTTGGGCTCTCTTTGAGCCAGCATAATAATGAGGCGTTTCTGTTTCGCAGTACTTGCAGGCACGGCTGCCGCCGTGCCTCCGCTCTTCACAGAGGTATCAGCCGCCAACAACGCATTTTGTAAGTGCTTCTGACTTATGGTCTTCTTTTCAAAAGGTTCTAAGGATGCGAGAAGATGAGGGAAGGTAGACATTCCTTGTGGTCCTTTCTGCTTGTCCGCAGCGGCCGTCGACTGCTCGGAGCAGATGAACAAGGCGAGAGAACCTATGGGGTTTCCAAAGTTTACTGTTCTTGATACAACGACGCATGCTGATCCAGAGAATACAGTTAATACATCTAAGCTTTGTGAAACTATAAAAGGGGTAAGATTCACGTTGTATCAATCCCCGCCACAGCACAGTCACGCATAACCGGCGGTCGATCTGCAATATGTTTTTCAGTTGTCTGCCTTTCCGTTTCGCTTCTATTTTTTGTCTTTTGAGTCGTGATTTCAAGCCCCATTGTTTCTTCTTGCTGCTCTCTTCTATTGGACACTATTTCTGCACCACCACCAGCAGCTGCAGCAGCTGCTGCCGCTGTTGCTCATTTTGAAAAGTCCTCCCTTTTGTGCTTTTGTTTGTTCCGTTTGCAGAATGAAGATCCCGGTGTATGGATAACAGAAACTGACATATCTGTAGCAGCAGCAATTCAAAGCTCAACAGAAGGCGATTGTGCCGCAGCAACAAAGCAATGGAAAGGAGTATTAAAGGCAATGGGAGATTCTTTACCACCTGCTTATACACCCGGAGAGGGCATATACAACAATCTTGATGTTGTATCGTTAATGAGTCTTTATACACCTAAAGAGGGAGTAGCTGTTACATGCACTGTCATCCAATGTCCAGGAAAAGGCTCTCCAACAGATAACGACCAGAATGATGAGAGCACCAACGGCAAGGACCCAAACTCAACCCCTCAACCCCCCACCAGCCCACCCAGCGATGAAGGCACAGGAGGCGCAACAGTCGGCACAGGAGGCAACGAAGCTGGCTCACAGACCGCCGGGTCTGGGAGCCCCAGTGGTAGTGGCAGTCAGGGTGAGGTTGGTGATAAAGGGAAAACGAGAGAGCTCAAAGAGGAAGCCAAAGACCTATCGAAGGAGAAAAAAGACAAACTTTTAACTCCAATAACTGGATCAGAAGTATCGGCAGGTGAAGTAGTAGGAGTATCACCACCAGCTGCACCAGCAGCAGCAGCAGCAGAAGGAGCAGGAGGGGTACGAGGAGGAATTAGAGTTCGTCGATTAGCGGAAGGAGACGAAGGAGTAACAGAAGATGAGTCTTTTAATGCTCTTGTTTGTATATTCAAACCTAAAACACTCACTAT